ATTTCCTATGAAGCAGCAGAGAGAAGAAAATCTAAAGAAAAGTTAACTGAAATAGATAATCAACTGTCTGTTCTAGAAGCGCTGTATAAGGAAAGTAATAAACTTGAAACATTAAGGAAGATCACTGCATTAAAGTGTGACTATAATTCTATACTGTCCAAGAATGTTTCACGTTTACTGGCCCAAGTAAAACAAAAGTATTTTGAGTTTGGTGATAAGCCCCAGAGATTACTTGCCCACCAGTTGAGGCAATCTCAGGCTTCTAGGGCCATACATTTTATCAGGACGAGTGACGGGGCTCTCCTGACGGATCCTGAAAAAATTAATAAGTGTTTTGCTAATTTTTATGAGGGTATTTATCAGTCACAGGGTGAACCTGATCTTAGAGCGATGGAAGACTTTTTTGAGACTCTGGGATTGCCTAAACTATCAGGAGAATCTTCTTCCTCACTAGATGCAGATATTAATTTGAACGAGACAAAGAAGTGATTTCCTCTTTCCCTAACAAAAAGGCAGTGGGACCTGATGGTTTTAGTATTGAATTTTTCAAAGTATTCAGCTCTAAATTATCACCTCTCATACTACGCATGTTAAATCACTCAATGCAGAGCTCTAGGTTACCTCCAACTCTGTACAAGGCTAATCTTTCACTCATCCCCAAACCTGGTCGTGACCCTAACTTGGTCTCTTCTCATCGTCCTATTTCTTTGCTGCCTATTGAAACCAAAATCCTAGGGTTAAAATCCTTAGCTAACAGATTAAAAGACCACATTTGTACTATTATCCATCCTGACCAAACAGGCTTCATGCCAGGTAGACATATGTATTTCAATTTGTGCCGCTTATTCCATGTGTTGTTTACAGAACACACAAAGGAGGCTGTAGTGATCTCTTTAGATGCGCAGCGCGCATTTGATCAGGTGGAGTGGCCATATTTGCTGTTTACGTTGAAAAAATTTGGATTTGGACCCTCCTTTATGAAGTGGATTGAGCTCATTTATTCATGCCCTACGGCCTCTGTTATCACCAACCAAAATATTTCATGCCCTTTTGCAATCAATCGTGGGACCCGTCAGGGGTGCCCCCTCTCTCCTTTTTTATTCTCTATAATGATTGAGCCATTAGCTACCAGTATTAGAAAAAGCCGTGTAATATCTCCTATTGACATGAATGGACAGGAACATCATATCTCGCTATATGCGGATGATATTCTTTTGTATGTTTCCCAGCCTCAAACATCAATACCTCATCTTTTAACATTAATCAGTAACTTTGGCAAATTCTCTGGATTTTCTGTGAACTGGGACAAAAGTGAGATAATGCCAATTTCTGAGGAAGTTGATATAACATATATACAATCCACTCCCTTTAAAAAGGCTTTTGAGGATTTTTCTTATCTTGGTGTAACAGTGACGAAAGATCCAGAGGACCTCTTACAGAAGAATTGGCATAATAAGATCGAGCAACTTAAGCAGGGTATACATTTTTAGAAGACTCTTCCTATTTCTCTAGCTGGAAAGATAAATGAAATTAAGATGATTGTATTGCCACGTTTCCTACATCTCTTTCAGTCTATTCCATGTTTTATTCCCCAGTCTTACTTTAAACAATTGGATTCAATTATTATACCTTTTATTTGGAATTACAAAGCCATTAGGATTTCCAAAAAACATTTATGTAAACCTAAAAATTCTGGAGGCTTTGCTCTACCAAA